TTTCAAGCATTATTTCCTAAGGATCGTTAATCTTCAACTCATTTCTCGAGCGAGTCTTTCGGAACCCCTTCATTTTACGGTCCACATATGTTTGTGATTAAATCAGAGAGGTAGCGCACCTCAAAAAGTTAGTTAGCTTCTTCCTCGCGGAATAAGTTCCGTTATGATTCATCCCTCATCAGCAGTTTGTTATGCACGTCAAAGGTATTTCATGAGAAATCGTACCCACAATCTTCCTTGTGTGTCATTTGGGTCTTGCATTTGCTCGGTGCAATGCGTTGTTTAGCCACGTGTTGTCAATCATCAAATCAGATTTCGTACCTGACGTCTAACAGTTCGTGCATCGTACTTGTTAGTACTGTATTGTCAGCACTCAGCATTGTCATGTGGTCGTCGTCATTTGTATTCTTTCGTGTCATGTCTGTCAGTTCTACAACATCAGTGATTATCGATATACGGTCTTGTCGATACTTCGCGTCCAAGTCATATCGCGGTGTGAGTTCAATCCTTCGAATAGAGTGCCTTCGTGAAGTTGTGTCGTACCCTCGATGGGTTGTTCCTGGTTGGCATACTCGATGTAGTTCGGCGTTCAGGTTTTCGTGTCTTACTCCTCTCAAGTGGTACGTAAGAGTATCGTAACTTCCCATTCTTAGCGCTTATTCGGAAGTGCGTCCCCAAATTTCAGGTGGCATTCAACTTTGTGACACAACATTAATAGTAATGTATTCGACATTAAATGCATTCTTTGATTTCGGAGTAGGTTCACCCTTCGCGAGTCGTAACCTAAAATCTTCAAACGACATAGTTGAGGTTACACTGATTCGTTCTTAGTTAATTATGGTTATTTTATTTTATTTTATTTTTCAACAATTCTTTGATCATACTAACGAGAATAACTGGGGCATTCTACAAACGTCACCACTATCACTATCGACATCACTAATACCTGCTAACTAGACTTGTAACGGATCGGAAGCCCTTCAACGGTGCTTCTGCTAACGGCCAAACATATTTTTACGTGTCGATGTCGAAACTTCTTTCAAGTCTGCTTCATTCGTTTCATCTTGTCGATCAGGGCATGTTGACCCGTAACGTCTTTCGAGATAGATTATTCACTAAGTTCATTTAGTTTGTATCCAACCACAACACTAGACTATGATGTGCCGGTGGTAAGTATTACTTTCTTTAGGAGTCACACAAGTCTTTCTTGTCCTTTATACAGTCATTCCTATTTGATACCAAAATAAGATTCCCTCATTCATCCGGGTCTGCAGCCTCTTTCAGAATTCGATTATTCATTTCGGTGATCAACGAGATAACTGAATATGAGACAAGGTACTTTATTATGAGTATATTTTTATACTATTTTCTTTTGTTACCTAACATCTCGTTGTCAGAGTTTATGCTAGTCTTATAGTAATAGGTTCCATCTCCAGGATGTGAATTCCTATCTTAGACTATCGCATTTCAGTATGCACAATAACCAACAATTTGAAGCTCAACACAAATATTCCAACAGTCAAATTGACACGGACATTCAAGCAATCAGCCTAATACAAGTATTTGAGCAATCAGCTCATCACAATTATTCGAACAATCAGTTCAATTCAAACAACTTGAGCAACCAGCTCCATACAACATTTAAACAATAAGACAATAACTTTTTTTTACCTTCCCGGGAAGCAGAGATGACGTGGAGGATATGGATGCAGTATTTGGAAAATACTCTTGCCATGGTTAATATTATCATAATAATACTATTTCCACTTATGGATTTCCAAAATACTACTTTGAACTGGTCTGAAGACCGATTTTAAAACCATATGCTCCGATACCAAAATGTAACACCCCAACCCGCATAACCCGAATAAATAAGTTAGCGAACCGGGTTGCTACTAGATATGTATCCACATACAATATTTCAAGGAAAATAAAAACATTTAATTTAAAACTAAATAATACAAAACCATTTAAATACATATCAGAGTTTATACAAACAGTGCGGAAGCTTCGTAAATTAATCAAACATTATTAAATCCATGCATCCATACGTCTCCTCCGTCACGCTGCTCTCCAAGATGTATTCCAAGGTCAACCCCTCCATGATTACCTACGTGTAACAAGGGGAAAAGAGGCTACATGCTCAGCAACGAAGCTGAGTGAGAAATATCTAACAGTTCGAACATACACATATGCGAACCCACTAATTCATAATCATAACATGATATCATGCACATAGGTTTAATATCATGTAGTTCACATAAACAATTCATCATATAATTTACCTGGCACCTGCCCTTTCTCATTTTTGCCAAAGCGGAGCGTATCTTGCCATGGTGGATCACCATCCATATGTACTTGAATTCTACACATAGACTAATGACTTACTACTTTTCTGGGAGTCATGATTGTTCCCACTGGATCAGCGGATCATGCTCAACCAACGAGGGAGTTCTCACGGTTGGTGGATCACCAAGCCTTGTCCCTATAACCTTATACTAGTCTAAGGACTATAACTTTACTGTATGGGAGACATGAGGGTTCTCACTGGATCAGCGGGTCATGCTCAACCATTAAAGGAGTNACCATCCATATGTACTTGAATTCTACACATAGACTAATGACTTACTACTTTTCTGGGAGTCATGATTGTTCCCACTGGATCAGCGGATCATGCTCAACCAACGAGGGAGTTCTCACGGTTGGTGGATCACCAAGCCTTGTCCCTATAACCTTATACTAGTCTAAGGACTATAACTTTACTGTATGGGAGACATGAGGGTTCTCACTGGATCAGCGGGTCATGCTCAACCATTAAAGGAGTTCTCCGTTGGGTGGGTGGAATCCCCACCTGATGAATCACCAGGCAGTTCAAGGATACCCGTACGTACGTTTTTACCCGGTTCGACTTAACCATTGGAACCCAGCAGGCAACCACCTGGTTTATACTCTTAATTTCCCACACTTATGTCATTCCCAAAGTTTCCCTCTGGGTAGACTTACCTTACCAAACGCATTGGATCAACACGTGGTACTTGTTTGCTGTGTGCTGGATCAGCCCACTCATACTTGCAATATCATATCCAAACATATGTATTTCACATAATCACACATTTGTTGGATCACCATAATAATATTAGTTCACATAAGTGTTGGATCAACACTTAGCAATCACAATTATAACACAGCGGCCTAGAACTGGGTATTGATACCCAAACTTACCGTCATACAACACATAAGGTCTCGGAATCAATCCTTGACGAAAACACATATCGACAGACCCGGCATCAGGTACCAGACGGTCCCCTTCACGGTACGGGGTACCATCCTCATGGTACCTGAGGTACCGGTCCTACGGCACTAGGGTACCGTCCGAACCATCTGGGCTCTTCCGGTGGGGCTGTCACGGTAGCCGACTACCGACTGCGCGGTAGGGCCTACCGTCCATCTAGTACCTAGGTACCGAACGGTCACAGCTACTGTCAGAGGAGAACGGAACAAACAGAGTATGACGGTAGCACGGTACCGTCCTGGCAGTACCGCCTACCATCTGACAGAGTAATTTTCCAACTTCTTACCTGTTTCGTTTTTCAGCATCAAATCAACAACAATATCATAACAACAAACACCAATGAGTCCAAATTACCATTCTAATTACTATCAAGCACATTATTCCATCAATCGGCACCTAAATCATGCATACTACCATTTTCAATAAGCATAGTCCTTGAACCCACCATCCAAACAGTTCAGTCACGTAATTCACGCAGATCAATCACGATAATAATTATTAACGGAATTTCAAACATATATACATATTCTACTGTTAGATGTCCACGTACTCACCTTGATTCGTCGATTAGAATTCATCGTCGGAACAGATTCGTCCCGTTGCCCGAACCGATACGGCTGCCCAAATTACCACCGCTGCCTGGAATGGCTGGAACACGGAGGGAGGTCGCCGGAATTATTGGGGTCGTTCGCCGGAATAGAGAGCCGCCCCGCCGCTGACCCGCCGTCGGCGGAAGTTGAAGGAACAGCGGGGATCGCTCGAGGAACCTGCTGGTTCGTCATCGCCGGAGCAGAACCGCTGGGCTCGCTGGTTCGCTGGCTGTCAGTCTCCGACTCCATCCTCAAGCTCGCCGGAGTTCGCCGCTGTCATGGTCACCGGAGGACGTGGAGGTCTTCGTCGCCGGTGATCCTACCGCTGGCCTCCCCTTGTGCCGCTGCTTCCGTTGGTCGAGGAAGATGGTGACGATGGCGTGGAACTACTTGCTCGATCGAAGAAGAAGGACAGGGACCGGGTCTGTGGTTCGGCGGCGCTGATCTGGATCAAAGAAGGAGAATCCGGAAGAAGGTCGCGTAAGGGAGTATTTATAAACCTAGGGTTTTGTGCTCCGTAATTTAAATTAACGTGTCCGAGTAAACACACAATTTTTGGGACAACTTGCTCCGAATTGAGATCCGTTCGCGTCGTTATATTCGATTCGTCGATCCCTACCCGATGGTATAACTTTTATAAACGTTCAACAAGTATTCACAGGTTCCACCTGATCCGTCTTAATTCTTTTGATTAATTAATACGAATTAGTTTTTTAATTTAGATCTTTACAAATATAATCAGATTAGTCTCGATATAGTGAGACAATTAGAATCTCCAAAGTATCTTAATTATTCTTTAAGGAATAAGTTGTAAATAAATAATTCCTATTTATTTAAATAGCAAATAACTTCTAGACCGGTTTTCAGGGCGTTACAGGATGTACGAGCGTTTGGAGAAGCGGCTGGATGCCCAAAATCCGTACCGCCAGGCGGTCTTCAGCGAGGTAACGCCCTTCTCCAGAAGGATAATGTCTCGTCCTCTCCCGGACAATTTTAAGACCCCGCAGGTCAAAGCATACAATGGGACGACCGAACCCCAGGATCACCTCGCTTGCTTCGGGGCGAACGTGGTTATGTATGCGTACCCCTAAGAGATTAAATGCCGATGCTTCCTGGCAACGTTAGAGGGGCAAGCTTGTGAATGGTTCCATAAGTTGCCTTAAGGGTCGATTGACAAGTGGAGCGACCTGGCCCATAAATTTTTGGTGCACTTCGCATCTAGCCGGAGACAAAAGCTCCCGTTCTCACACTTGCTCAATGTGAAAATCCGGAAAGGGGAGCAACTCCGGGAATTTATCAACAGGTGGGAGAAGGAGGCTAGGGACGTCCAAGGGGCAGACGACCATGCCCTGATCGCCATGCTCCAAGCGGCACTCCCTCAAGGGGATGTGCGCAAGGAGCTGCGACGGAATCCACTCTCGACCTACAAGTAGATGCTAGCCAGGGCGAAGTATCTAGCGTTGGAAGAAGAAGACGACGAGCCACCTGTCCGGAAGGAGAAGAAGAGCGGACACCCAGTGGCGGAAGGAAGAAAGAGGAAAGATTTTGGTAAAGGACCGAACCCTACCGGATATCAGACGAGTAGACAGCCCGTCCATGCAGTACAGTCCTTACCAGCCCCTCCCCGCAGCCAAGAAAGCTATAACGTCCAAGACGCGCCCAAGTACTGCGAATACCATCGTAACAGCACCCACAACACGTCGAAGTGCGTTACGCTGAAGAAGGAAATGGACCAGCTGATTGCTAGAGGACCGCCTCCTCGGCCGGAGCGACCAGCACCTGGGAACCGAACCTGGAGGAGGCCGGCGGCCGCCGCTGCAGCGATAACCGCTGAGGATGGGCAGGAGGACGGAAGATGGCATCTGGGGAGAGATTGTGACGACCTGGATGAGGAAGAGCGACAAAATCGCCAACATTTGGGATGTCGGTTTATTATGGGTGGCAACACCGGAGGGGACTCGGTGTCCTCACAAAAGAAGTGGAAGAATATGGTACATCTGGCTGAAGTGCAAAGGCCACCGCTGCCCAAACGTAAGAAGAAGGAACCGTTGATCTTCACATATGAAGATTACCCGCCAGTTCTCAGTCCCCATCGGGATGCACTGGTGGTGAAGGTAGAGATCAATAGTGTGGTCGTCCATCGCATGTTGGTCGATACTGGCAGCTCGGTCAATATCATGTACAACAATACCTTCAAGGAGCTGGGGTTGTCACGGGGCGACCTTAAACCAATCCGTACCCCGTTGTCAGGATTCACAGGGGACACTATCGAACCAAAGGTTTTTTCCAACCAAAGGAAGCAGGGGGTTTTTTCCAACCAAAGGTTGAGGAGACCTGAATGCTTGAAATAAGGTTCAAAAGACAACTTGAAAAGAAGATGGGACTTGTAAGAAAACAGGTGACATCGAGGTGCATTCATGAAAATATCTATTACACATCAAGAATCACCTTTTGCATCTACGTACCCAATACAATTGAGAAGAACTTCCATACATTCTACATACATTCAAGAGGGAAAATTCTCCCATACATCTTATATACGTTCAAAAGGAAAAATCCAAAATCTGCGAGAGAAATATAGGGGAAAAGGCGAGTTGAAGGGTAGTTCTGTAGCCACAGAACCCCGATCACCAACTGTTACTTGCGACCACCTCTCTTCTCCGACATGGAACAGAGATGGTCGCCCCCTAGCCGCAGCAAAAACCCCCGTCCTTCTCCTGCAAGAGAAGGAGGGGAGGCGACTCACTTTTCTGTGAGCCCCAATCGGCATCATCCAGATGAGGATGGAGGCCCTGAAGCGGCACGAGCTACTCTTGGGCGTTTGGGTGCCTTCCGGTGGGGCGAGCGACCAGCGGGGCGTGGTAGAGAAGAACCCAGTTCTTCCCCCACCACAACCTCTTCTTTAGGCCGCACTGGCGAGCTGGTGCGACTCTCGCTAGTCCACTGCTCCAGACTCGTGTAGTATGCTCCTTCATGCTCCAAAAGGGGCAAGTGCTCATCCTACACGCTCTTCCAAGCCGCATAATGCCATTGCTGGATGGGGCAGGTCCCAGTCAACCTCTCCGTTTGGCAATCAGTTGGCTAAAAGTGCCTTTGATGTCGCGCTGAAATCGTCATAAGGGTTTGGCGGAATGGGCGACGGTTTAACCGAGGGCCACCGCCGGCGAGGCAACTAGCGGTAGAATTCGTAGGGGTCTAGCCCCCTCCCAATTTTTGGAATTAACAGATTTGGGGGAAGAGGCAGGCTCCGGCGAAGAAGGGGACGGCCCATCGGAGAGATTCAAAGAAGTAGGGATTCCTTCAGGCATGTCAAAAAATGGAGAAAGAGAAGGTGTTTGATGGAGGAGTCAAACGAAGAATGGGGGGTTTATAAATAGCCCCGGGTGAAAAAACCGAGGAGACGATCAAGTCCCAAGGCAGCTAAACCGATAAAGTAACCTTGAGCCGCGCAATGGTCCAATCAAGGGCTGTATAGAATGCATTGGGTCAGTTAGGCGGCACGGCAACTAGTCCCGAGGCTGGGCCTAGACGTGCAGTTGGGCCAGAGATAGAAGTTAGGCCCAAGCTAAAGGCACATCCATATCCATAGGGTAAGTCAACTTAAAGGAAAGAGTACAGCAACAAAGCACAAGAAAAGTAAAGGCATGTGATGAATAGAGCAAAACAGCAAACTTGAAGGTATTGTATCAAAACATCAAGACATCCCAAAAATCATAAGTTTTACAAGTTTAAAGGCAAAAAAGACAAGGGGGAGGTGGGGTAAATCAAATGCCCGAGCTGGTGCCTCCGCCCACCTTGGATGTCGCCGGGTTGGCCCCCAGCCCCTGGTCGCCCGGTGCAGCTGACTCTCCTCCTCGTCAGAAGCGCTCGAGCTCTCCTCGTCCAAGTAAGGGCTGGGATCAGACTCAGCGAGGGCGCGGCAGGGATGGGGAAGACCAAGATCGGGGAAGGATAATCCTTTGGGAAGCCGAGCTAGCTTGTCGCGAAAAACCTGTTGGGCGCGGAAAATTCCGCAGTTGAAGGACTACTTTGCTTCCTTGACCATCCATTGGACACCGGGCTCGGTGTCAAGCCACTCGACCACCAGCTTGTCCATCCGTCCCATAGCGACTGCAGCAAAGTCGGGAGATGACTTGAAGGATTCGATCGCCTCCTCCCGGCGACGGGCCTGGTCGCTCCTCTCAGCGTCCAACTGTTGGATCAGATCGGCTTTCTCCCCTTCCAACTCAGCTACGCGGGCAGAAACGGATCCCACTTCAGAAGACAAGGAGGCGTTCTTTGTCTCAAGGGCGGCAGAGTGACCTTTCTCCTCCTCCAACTCTCTTGCGAGGCGAGCGACCTCCTCTTGCAGCTCCCTCTGCTTATCTTCTGCAGCCTTCCTCGCCTCATCCATGACCGCTTGGCGGTCTTGCCTCCCCAGCGATCATCCCCAGCGTAGCCTGAACCAAAACTTCAAGAGTCAGGGATGCAAGGCGGAGGGGTGGCGAGAAGGGAGTTAAGGCAAATACCTGGCTAAGCTTCAAAAGAACCATGTTGTTGAGGTCATCCTTAGAACCGGCCGAGATGCGAGCTCGATCCTGAGCGGGCAAGGTGACCAGGGTCTGTAGTTGCACGTCTCCTAGGCTTGGGGATGGGGGAGGAATGCTGAACCTCGTCAAGCGACCCTCGATCGCCACCTCGTAGGTCACTACTCGTGGGGAGGGAGGTCGCTCCGAGAAGGCTCTCTAGGACGACCCAGCTAGGTCGCCACCAAGCATCAGGGAGCGCAGCGAGGAGCTGATCACCATCATCCCCGTTTCCAGAGCCGCGTCATCTTGGTCCTCCACCTCGATCACGACATGCTCCCGCGGGGGGCTATCTTCACCGCGCGAGGAAGAGCGCATGCTTTTGCCCTGCCGGGTCGCATCCCTCTTCCTCTTCCTCCCCGCAACGAAGTGGCCGAGAAAAAGCTCACCGTCCATCTGTTCTTCTAATCCTGGTGGCTAAACTGAGAACAAATGGAACGGTTAATCCCCGAAGGAAATAAACTTGAAATCCCTAACAAAAAAAGAAGGAAATTACCAAAGGGGCCACAGTCAACGCTTCCCCCGGGAGCGCCCCTTAGCAGGTCAGGCTGATGGCGATGCTCGTCTTGGACAAACTCAAACCCTAGCGCCGCCAGAGACTCCTCAGTCACCACCTTCTTAATCTCGACGGCCCCTTGGGCGCAGAGTTTCCGGGTGATGGACAGAAGGGTGGCGTTGGATGGGGACACGAAACGCGACGAAAGGATGGGAGCCCTGAACCCGTGAAAGGAGATTCAGGCCCCGTCGAGACAAAGACAAAGAAGGGCTTCTAGTCCTTGGTCGACCCCTTCTTGTCACTAGTAAAAAGCTTGCTGAACCGTTGGGAAAGGCTGGCATAAGACGCCCAATCCCCATGACCTTTGGTCAGTTTGAAGGTAAACAGGAAGTGGTCAAGCGTAGGTTTTACCCCTACCTTCATGCATCTGACCAGGTAACCGATGATGTACCGGTGAGAATTGGGGACCAATTGGCAAGGAAGGAGGTCCACCTCGTTGAGGAACTCAATCAACAACGAGTGGAGAGGAAACCACAGCCCCTTCTTCAGAGATGCCAGGTGAACTGTAAAAAACCCTGAAGGGGCATCCAAGGCGGTCTGGGTGCTAGTGGGCCTTAGGACTTCAATAGAGGATCCGACCATGTTAGTGGCATCAGCGAACCCCCGGTCAGTGATTTGGTAATGGCACAACGCCATGATGTTCTCATCCAGCTTAACCCTCGAGCCCTCCTGCGCTGGGGTCGAGGGAGGAAATTGCTTCCTCAACCGGCGCCGCTTTTGGCCAGGCACTGCCGCCGGCAATGGCTGAGACGATTGAGTCTGACCTAAGTCATGGCCAGAGGCCGATTGATCGGCTTGGCGAGAATTGGACGACGGGGAAGCTGAATCAGAATCAGAGATAATCATGGTGGCGAAAGAGGGAACTGACCTGAAGCAAAAGGAAAACGGGTCGGATAACGGCGGAAGGACAAATGAAGAGCAGTTGAGAAGGCAAATGGGGAAGATTGGCGTCCAGCGGCGGTTTTATCAAACAGTAGGAAGGCGAAGCAGCAGGCCATGATTACTTTTAGTGGAGATCGTGCCAAACATCACGCGAAACCCAAGGAGCAGCCCGAATCCGTGCTGGAGCGCCCACATGGACCTCGTAAACTCCCCATCCCTCAACGTGGCCCGTTTGAGGAATGAGGAGTTGGGGGCTTGTGATGGGCCGATATCCAGCGGGCGGCCCAAATTAATCATCCAATAGACTCCGGGTCAAGCACGTGGTAAAGGCATGGACTTGAGCCGGCCCATAACGCGAGGCCCGAACCACTTTAACCCAAAAGACAGCTGGCAGAGCCAGTCCACGAGAGGAAACTCAGCTGAAGAACGGAGATGAAGCCGGAAAAAGGGGATCGCGCCATCAATGGAGTGGACTCCCTTCGATTATGAATTACGTTAATTATCCAGAACCCATGTATAAATAGAGGGGACCCGAAAGGGGAAATCTCAAGCTAAATCAAGCTAATAATACACACATATAATTCTCGAGTTCTCGTTCTTATTCTATCTCTTGTGATCCATTCTTCTGAATTGGATCATTGGATGGATTGTTTGTCCATCACCTACCTTTTCCTTGCCTTTGCCATTTGCCCTTTCTCGGCCTTCAGACAACCTCTTCCCGTGGTATAGATGTAACAAGGTTGTACTCTCCTGGTCTCTGTCGTGGATCGGGTGATTTTGATCCATCAAGCTCGCTCCAACCTGATTTGCTCGTTGTACTCCTCGATCTGGTTTTTTATAACTCAATCTCATCGTGCCTTTTGTTATCGCACAATTGTTCCTTAGCTTCCAGGATGGTTCCCGGTCTGGAGAAGGCATACAGGTCCTTAACTCATGCCGTAGCTCCTGCGGATCATTATGGATTCAGCAATTGTGATTCAGCAATACATGTGAAAATATGCTCCCCGACTCGGTTTCACGAAGCCACAATTGCATTGATAATCTTATCTCATAGCTCTTCAATGATTAATCTTGTCCCATTATACAATTCGAATGTTTGCTTAATCTTCCTTTATTGCATGATCGGTACCTCATTTTTCAAAACTCTTTTTATGGTTTGGGATTCTCGAGATTTTGATTTCATTCAAATACTCAACTATTCTCCAATCACCATCAATGCCTGCATCTGCTTGACCTGAAGAATCAGAACTCTAGTACTTCTTTTCATCATCAGGATTGTGAGACATGAAAAATTATTTATCATTTCAACTACTTTGAAAATTGGTTCTAATAGTGCCATGTCCTCAAGAAAAGAAAAGAAAAGTTATTCAAATTTATTAATATGTTTGCGTAAGTGAAGTCCTCTTCCTTAATAAAATAAAATAAGGTAAACTTAAATTTATTATAGGAAAAATTACCCAAAATAATCCCAACTTTACCCGGTATTTCAAAAATAATCCCACCTTTCACTGTGATGCATAATAATCCCAACTTTATTGAAATTTGCCAATTTTGGGTCGCCGTTAAATTTCTAACGGAGGTTTAACGGAAATGCCCATTTTAGGCAACAAAATGAAAGTTGGGATTATTTTTGATAAATTTTTGTTTTTGAATTTTTTTTGAAATTTTTATTTAAATTTTTTAAATTACTTTCAACCTCCATTTCTTTTTCTTTTTTAAAGATTATTCTTACCTTAGAAAAAAATAGATATCAAAAATAATGAAAATGAGAAAAATAACTAAAACCATACAAAATTAATCAAATAAATAATGTAATCAATAGAAATTCAACAGAAACTGGTAAGAAATAAAATAAATATATACGGAGTGGTGGGTTTTAACATTTTACTCACTA